TCTTTGTGAAGCTACTTCTTTCATACAGGTTTTTACAGACCACAAATTGTGTTGCCAGATTCTTTAATGCTGCTCTGCTCACTCACAAATGTATGATTGCCAGCGGTTTTAGTTCCGCAAACCATACATAGTGCTCTATTTATAAATGGTCTTATTATGTAAACTGTGTATCTTTTTACTAATATGTCTTTATAAGGTTTTATTGTATTATATCTCTTAGATATAATATAAGATTGGGTTAACAACCGTAAATAAATATTTTATGGCCTGTGATGATGATGTTGACAATGACAACAACAACAATAACTGTGTTACAGCTAGTTGTATTGTTGGCATTTTCTAGTTTATTCACTTTGGATTCCCACAGTGGGCCATTTTCCATCACAATTGTTCTGCAGATGCATCTGCTTCCACCAACAGAAGAAGGAGAGGGGCGTATCTTCTTTGCCCTGCTACCCTCCATGCATCCTCATAATGCACTCTGGAAATTTGGGAAATCTGGGAAATCTCAGAGTGGTCTTAAGTGACTAGATAGGCGGGATATAAATAAAATAAATAATAAATAAAATAATAAAATCTTTTGGAGCAGATTTTGGGATTGATGAAGAAGGCTGCAAGGGAAAAGTGACAAAGCCCCATTAGACTAGCGGGCAGTCATTAACAGAACATTGGAATGAGGCCTTGATCCATGGCAACAACAGTCACAGGGTGTACTAAGGACTACCTTGATTAAAACAACCAGTGTGATTTATCCTCTAGCACATGGGTTTTGACCTTCTTCCTCCAGTGGCTTTGGATTACAATTCCTGCAATCTCTGACCACTGGCCATGCTGACTAGATCTGTTGGGAGTTGAAGTCCACAATACCTGGAGGAACACAAAGTGGGGAAACAGACTTACACACAGAGGGTAGAATAACTATTTCCGGAAGTGTCTGCCTCTCTTGTTAAGATGCAAATTGTATATTTAGTGACAAAGCTCTTCTCTCCCAGGACCAAATAGCCTACAGAGCAACCAACTGATTATTTTAATGACCATCCCTCTCCCCTCCCCTCATATTCTTACCTTCCAAAATACTCCCCCCCCAAAAAAAATCACAAACAAGCTGTTCTACTTACTTAACAGGCATGGCATATGCAAATACATTGCTAAGCATTAGCTTCTTTAACTAAAGTAAATACATTAGTAAGAACATGCTGACGGTATTACAATTAATGACCCAGTGCATTACTATTTGATATTAGCATAATGATATTAATTGCAATATTAGCCAAGCTGAAGAACAATCACTTTACTCTCCCTGAAAATGCTGATGCAGCAGTTTCTCCATAACATTAAGGGTACAATGACAGCTATATCTTCAGCAACTCAAAACCTCCAGGTTATTAGGGAGGTGAGGAAATGATAGCTGTGCAAGCCAGAGTGACTTTTTGAGTCACTACGCATCTTGTCCTGTCCGCTGCTTATTTGTCATGTTTGGTAACATCTTGAAAGTTTGAGAATGAGCCTACACAGAAGTGAGCATAAAGTTTATCTAGCTGACATGCACAAGTGTAAACAAACTCTGCCATTGGTCTCACTTACAATTTCCCAGCTGTTGTTTCTGTATCCCAACCAGGTGGGTACACAAAATGAAAGTGGGCATTCTTGTACCTTTAATACACCTGTTATCTGTTGCAATGTCCTCTTCTCTACAGCTTTTATGGGTAACGAAACTCCATCCTCCATTCCATGTGGCCATGCTGTTACTCTGGAAGGTGCCTGGTGTGATGACTTTTTCCTTCCCTTGGAGTACTTTTTGGACCCTAAAAGAGTAACAGTGGCCGGAATACTAATGGCACTTCATTCTGGAGTAACTGAAATTATGTAAATCAAGCCAAGAAATTGCAGTAATTAACAACATGCTGGTTGTGTGCCCATGTTATGTGCCAGGCATGCAACTGGCACTTTGTTAATCAACTACAATTTGCTAACTTTGCTTCTTGCTGTTGTTATGTGCCATTAAATTGCCTCTGATGTACAGTATGATGACCCTATGAATGAGTGCTCTCAAAAATGTCTCAACAGCCCTGATCAACCCTTGGAAACCAAGATTATTTACGGAGTCACTCCATCTTGTATTGGGTCTTCCTCTTCCTTCAGCCTTCAATCTTTCCCAGCATTATTGCTTTTTTCCAGAAGATCTTACATTCTCATGATGTGCCCAAAATAGGACAATCAGTTTCACTATTTTTGCCTACAGAGATAGTTGAAGTTTGATTTGATCCAGGACCCACTTGTTTTTCTTTCTGGCAGTCCAAGGTATCCACAGAGCTCTCCTCCAACACCATATTTCAAACAAATCATTTTTTCCCCTGTTGGCTTTCTTGATTGCCCAGTTTTCATACCTGTACATGGTGATAGGAAGTACAATAGTGTGGATGATCTTGGTTTTTGTTTCGAGTGACACATCCTTACACTTGATTATCTTTTCTAGCTCCTTCATTGCTGCCCTTCCAAATCTCAGTCTTCTTCTGATTCCTTGACTGCAGCCTCCATTTGGGTTGATGACTGAACCAAGGTATACAAAATCTTGAACAATTTCAGTTTCTTCATTGACACCATTAAAGCTGTGTAGTTCTTCTGTAATTCTTGTGTAGTTTTTCTTTGCTTACACCAAAATAAAATCACAATTGATTTCTGCCCATTTAACTATAAAAGTAACAATTCCAATGTAAAAGTCACCTGTAATCGCTTCTCTCACTAACTCCATGTTCAGCGTTCTCACACATTTCTCTAAATCACTTTTGAACCTTTATTTGTCTATGCTGACAGATATATAAAGTAATATTCATGCTGCTAATGGGAGTGCCAACTGGTCACACTGCCAGTTTGATTCAACTGTTATTTAACTTGCACATTCATCTATTAATTGTCATGACTAAAAAAGGCAAAATGAATTCAAGAGATGGCATTAGATCCTTAATCCACACAAATGTTTAATGTCACTTGTACATCTAAATATTCCATTTCTTCTTTTAAAAAGATGGGCTCTTATAAAAGGCTCTTTTGATGCTCACCTTAGTGTTCTTCTCTGGATATATTCAGATGTATGACAGAACAGACGTTGCTTTGAAACTGTCACATACTTGTTCTTATTTAATACATAGATCCCCTAAAATTGAGATTTTCATCTTGATCATAAGCTTTAGCATCTAAGCTATGACATTATATTATGTAGAAGCTGTTTATCTTAATGAATCCTGCTGTGTTCAATGGGCTTACTCCCTTGTGTTGTTTTGTCTAGCAGTTTCTTGGCTTGTTCCAGTTGTTCAAACTTCTAACCCACTATGCCTTTTCAAAAAAAAATTAAATTAAATTAAAAGAAATGCATATATAATATAGAGGACAGACCATGGGCATAGATTTGATTGGCTTGTGTACTGCATTCCTAACATATGTAAATATAAAGAGCAATGTGCGCTTGTAGTAAGTTGGTGGCTCTCATAATTTAAGCCTCAGTATGAATTCTTAGGCTAGATTCTAAATACCGGGAGCCAGTCCAGAGACATCTTGTGATATTTATATGTTTATCTATTCTTTTCTCCTAGAGCAACATATCTGTTTCTTCCTATTTAACTGTGCTACAGCCTTGGGAGGAAGACTAGCTGACAGGCTGTGACCGGCTAACCTTAAGTCAGTCAACCCACTTCATAGCTGTGAATGTGTATTCTCATGTTCAACATCCAATAATATCCACTATTACACCACACTAGATTCATTCTCGTTTCTCATATTATTGTATATAAGACTGCCTCAGGAGAGTGACCACTCTAGGCGGCTTCCTTCTAAGTCTGGAAATTATACATCCCCATCATGGCTTGTAACCTGCCATGGACTTTTCCACCAGAAATCTGCCCAGTCTCCTTTTAAAGGCGTCTAGGCCAGATGCCATCACCACATCCTGTGGCAAGGAGTTCCACAAACTAACAACATGCTGGGTAAAGAAATATTTTCTTTTGTCTGTTCTCATTCTCCCAACACTCAATTGGAGTGGATGTCCCCTGGTTCTAGTATTGCATGAGAGGGAAAAGAGCTTCCCTCTATCCATTTTATCCATCCCTGTACAATTTTATATGTTTCAATCATGTCCCCCCCTCAGATGCCAGTACAAGCACATATCTAAAAAACAATTTTCCCTTAATTACATTGAAAGATGTTTCTATATATTTTGGACATTAACTGGAAAGTGCTTAGTACTGAGCACCTGACTACTTATTTTTATAATTTTTTTTGGTTTTCTGCCATGGCAAAGTCACAAGAGAAGCTGCTCATGCTATCTTTGACACAGAATTGATTACATACAATTTTTCACAGAACCAGTTGTGTTATTTCTAAGCTTGTTTGCTTGTCAAGGATGTCACAAGTGTACCATGGCTCTTTTCTGAGAGTAAATAAATACTGAGCCAATTTACAGACAGCTACATTGTCAAGGAGACCATCTGCGGAGGGAGTGCAGGGAATGAAATGGAAAGGTCTATAATCTCTATTCTGTCCCCTTTCATTCTGTCTTTTCAATTGACACGAGGAACACAGGTGGAAAGATTCACTCATCATGTCATAATTGATTATTCTTCTTAAGGAAACTGCTTTTGCAAAATGCATTCACCTTTCATGAATTCATTCTTAAAATGAATTATGCACTTCACAGCCCTAGGAAGAATACACGGTTTTATGCAAGGAATATTTCTCTGGTGCTGTAATTATGATTAGTGTGCTTTTAGATTAATTAGGAAATGAATGAAGAGGGAAGAATTATGATCAAAGAAATCCGGATCTAAGGATTTGCTTTAACTGTTGTTTAATCCACAGAATATCACATTTTGTGCCCCTGGAAACGTTGAATGAGAAAGGACACTTCATAGCCAGCCAGAGAAAAGGATGACTGGAGACTGACAGGTAGCAAAAAACCATACAGGCATAAAACAATTCTTTATTTTATTTTGGTATTCCAACAGCAAATGGATTCCTTAGACACTAGCACAACATCAATGAATGTTAGCACAGAAAGAGTCGTATTGATGCCCAGAATTGGTTATACTATTATTGCAGTTATTATGGCGACATCTTGCACTTTATCTGTAATTTTGAATACAACTGTTATTGTAGTCACTTTTAAGTACAGGCAGCTTCGTCAACCTATCAACTATTCCCTGGTCAATTTAGCTGTAGCAGACCTCGGAGCAGCCTTGTTGGGAGGAACTCTGAACGTTGAAACAAATGCTGTTGGGCATTACAACCTGGGTAGAGTTGGCTGCGTCACCGAAGGCTTTGCTATGGCATTTTTTGGTGAGTACAAGTCTAAAGTTGCTTTGCTGCATTAAAGAATTAGAAAAAAATGGATTTATCTGCTCACAAGCGACCCATTCCTAATTGTATTGTAGGGCAAAACCCAACATTTTACAAGACTCCTAGCTATGTTGGTATTTCAACAATCATGATGCTATCCCTTTACTTATATTTTTCCACATTGTAGGAAGAACTATGCTTATATGTGTAGTTTTAGATCTTGCATATTTTTCACCGTTATGTTTTAGTAGGTATAACTATGCTTGGAATAATAATAATTTGTACAATCAAGAAATTAGCAAATGTGAGCAAGGTCTTTTGCACTCTATCTCTGACTTAGCTATTGAATTATTTGGAATGCAACTTTAGGTAAGAGGGTTTCACTTTGCTTCCCTTTGGGATTTCCTATCACATAAGAACCACCTGCTCTTTATATACTTCCTTTGTAACAAACATTTTACCAACGAAATCATCATCTAAGAACAGCAGAGTTGGAAGGGACCCTATGGATCATCAAGTCCAGCCCCTGTCAAAGAGGCACAGTGGGAGAATCGGACTCCCAACCTCTCACTCTGCAGGGAGAGACCTAAAACACTGAGCTATCCAGCAGTTCTTTGATTTAGTCCAGAGGTGAGCAACATCTGGCCTCTGTGCTACATTTCAGATCCCAATTGCAGCCCCCAGCACCCCTCTCCTCCATCTCTCCCTATTTTTAAAAAAATGCTTAGAACTTTGACTCAAAAAATACACCTCTAGAGAAAAGGGGTGGGGTGGGGATTTTGCCTTGTTTAGAGCACTCCAGTACTCTTAGCTCCCATTTTAAAAAACTTTAACACTTAAAGGTTTTTTTTTGTGACTAGATGGGACAGGTTTTCAAAGTTGTAGCCATGTTAGTCTATGAAAGATTTTGAGAAGAAACACAAAACAAAACAAAAGCAAAAAAAAGAGATGTGGCACTGTAAAGACTTACCTGGTATGTTTTAATGTAAACGTTCATGAAACATTGTCCACTTCTTCAAATATATGATTTAGAATACTGTATGTAAGGCTCTAAAAGACAGTAGTAGCTGGTTGCCTTTCACACCTTGTAAAGGTTTGTGGTCCCTGTTTGGTACTAATTTCTTTTGAAGTCTGGTTGTGTAAACATTCAGACAATAAAAACAAAACACAAGATGGCACAAGGAGGCTTTTTCAGTACCCTTACTCCTTGTTAGAGATTAAAAATTGGCATGAGCACTGCAGCAGTGGGTGGAGCCTTACAAGCTTGAGGAAGCTTGCTCACCCCTTATTTAAAAAATAACGTATTCTGGGATAGTCCTTGAACCTCTACATGCAGTAGAGATGGACATGAATCAAAAAATCAATCACCCAAAATTGCTAATTCATCAATTCGTATTTCATACCGATCAATGCCCCTGACAAATATGAATCAATGGATTTTTAGAGATTTTTGATTTGTCAATTGATTTGGCTATAAAACACTCCCCCAAGCACCTAGAGACAGAAAAATCAAAATCACAGAGAAGCTTCCTCTGACTCTCCTCTACAATTCCCCCAAGTTTCATGAAGATTAGATTTCCTCAAGTCACCTGCTAAAGGGCACTTTCCTGGGGGGGGGGACCACTTTACAGGTATATAACGTGGATGTCTGAAACCCAGTCTTCACCAAACTTGGAAGGATTGTAGAGCAGTGGTCCCCAACCTTGGGCCTCCAGATGTTCTTGGACTTTAACTCCCAGAAATCCTGGCCAGCAGAGGTGGTGGTGAAGGCTTCTGGGAGCTGTAGTCCAAGAACATCTGGAGGCCCAAGGTTGAGGATCACTGTCGTAGAGGATAGTCAGTAGAAGCTTCTCTGTAACTTTGTGTCTCTAGGTGCCTGGGGGGAACTTTCCTGGCGGGCCCTGCTTGTGGGTGTATAACTCGGACGACCGAAACCCAAACTTCACTAAACTTGCAGGGCTTGAAGAAGAAAGGCAGGGGAAGCTTCTCTGAAATTTTGATGTCTCTAGGTGCTGGCATGCATTTTATAGAGTTTTATAAATTAAAAAAGATGAATTGATGAATCAATTCTTCATGGAAAAAATGCAAATTCATAATTCATCAACCTTGATGAATCACAAATCAAAATGAATCACAATTTTTCTGATTCATGCACATCTCTAATATGCAGTTTCCACTTGCCAGATGCAATCCATTTATTACACATCCCATATTTTGTTTCTTGTACAAGACAGCAAAAGAGACTCCAATATATATGCATATAAATACATGTACCTAATACTATCATATTTCTCTCCGCCCATATTGCTTTCCAAGACAGGAACAGGTTTTCACTGAACCTCTTCTCCTATAAATATAATTGGACCCATTGTGAGATTACAGTTCTATTAAATATTCTTACTAGGTTGAACCTTGTAATAAATCTTTGGCATCTCCAGGCACAAGGTGGAAGAGTTCCTTAATCAGCATATATGTTTGTAGTTGATATAGTAAGCCAGCAGAGGAAGGTGTCGAAGGGTGGAATTATAGGGCTCTTCCCTGAACTTAATGAACACATTGCTCAGATTTGAACCATTAACCTCCAAGTTCATCTTGAATGCTTTAACTAACGATAAAGCAATGGAACACAACACTAGTCATTTTGGGCTTAGCCACACAGAGTTTTTGTTGCTGTAAAAGTACCTGGTTCACTGCTGACTGTTTCAATATTTTTCTCATTCATCTATACAATATAATGTTTGTCATGGTAGAAACAATGACAAACTCATGCCTTCCTATGCTTGTTTTTCTCCCTTGTTCCTTAAAAAGAAAACTCAGTTCATTGCAAAGTTTGTGACTTCCACTGTCACCACCTCCACTGGGAAGTTTTCAGTTGCTTTTAAGTAACCAACAATAACGAGAGAGAGAAATCATTCCAGAAGATAAGCTGTAGCTGGGAAATTGGATTTCTTTCATATATTTAAAACAATTTTGCTTTGCTGGGAAAGGATTCAAGCAGTATCTTCCTTGCCTCTAAAACTACTATGTTACTTCTTTATACAGAAAAAATGAGGGGAGATCAGAGGAAGTGATCCCACTTGCCAAATCCCAGCTTCATCTCCAGTATTTTTCCCCTACTCTTGTTGCAAGACAACCAGTGCTGCCTCCTAAGAAAACCCCACATTGCAGCACAGCCTGGATGTCCTGAGAAGAAGCAGTGGGTTTTTATTTTGTAGCATGAATACACGCCTGCTCTCCACATCAAACCGCTACCAACAATGGGGCAGAAGTTTTGCCTCATCCAGATAAGATCATAATATAGGTTTTCATTAACAGGACAACACAGGGGATTAGATCAGATTTGGTCATGTCTAAACTAACTTACTGAAATCAGTGGATCAAATATCTTCTAAAGTAAGTCCCACTGATACCCATGAGTCTTCTCTAATCAAGTCTAAAGTGGAATTCAACTCACTATGTGTGACAGCTGGTGTGCTGTAGTGGTTAGTGTTGAACTATGTGTGGGAAGATCCTGATTCAAGTCCTCATCAAGTTATGAAACTCACTGGGTGACCCTGGGCTGGTCACACTCTCTTATCTTGACTCCACTTTACAGAGGTGTTATGAGGAAAAAGTGAAGATGAGAGCTATGTATGCTATAGGATGGGGGGATATAGCAAATGAATGAATGAATGAATGGTTCATGCTTACATTTCTTTTATTTTTAAAAATAATAAAAACTAAATCTAGAGGCTACCAAATATCTTTGGTATAAGCTTTCATAGACACTGCCTGCTTCATCAACATGGTCCCACACTGTCTTTTAAATGCTGCCTTTCTTTCAAAATATTTTCCCTGACTCTTTGAAATGAAATGTCATCTCCTAGGTTGTCAAAAATGCTATGTTCCTTGTCAGAGGGAACTCAGCTGAAATAATTGCTAACCTAGAAACCACATATTCAGTGCTGTAATACCAAAGGCTATTGCAGCTAACCTAGAAACCACATATTCAGTGCTGCAATACCAAAGGCTATTGCGTTTTTAAAAAAAAGAAAGAAAAAGAGAGAGAAAATGCAGTGGGCAGCACGTTCAAGAGTTTGTCGGTGTACCAAAGAGGGTTTTACAACAGAGGCGCATTTCTGGAGAACAGTTGTGACAGGAACTCAGCTCCAGGCAAGCAAATCAAAAATAGCAAGTATGTTTCAGAAAAGAAATGGCTCCTCATCTCTTCCCCTCCCCCGCCCACCTTCCCTGTCTCTATTTGATGCTCAAACTATGAAAAAAATACCTGTGATACAAAAGTGCCAGTGAACTCTCTTGGATGGAACTGCTATCACACACACAATGCGAAAATAGTTGTTCTGAAAAGGGAGGCGGGAGAGCCAGTGTCTATGATGCTGAGTATGAAGTTAGCAAACCCCAATGAAAACTGTGCCAAGATTTTCAGGCACTAAGAGTTCTGAATTGGGGACCAACACACAACACATAACAAAGCCCAATGCCGTATCCTTCATTAACTTTCTTCATGGATTGACTGTGTACAGGAACAACTAGGGCAGCTCCTGAAGGGCAAGCATTTGAGAACTGATCCTTTTTTTGGGTACACTGCTTGCAACAAGAGAGTTCAGCGACTGTAGCTAACTGGGTCTCATAACAACAGGGACACAATGTAGGCAGAATCTGTAGACAGTGGCCTCAATATTGGATGTTGGTTTTACTAACAGAAGGGAAACTTGGATAGGACTAAACAGCTACAGCAGACGAGCAGGAAAAGGCAGCCATTGTAGTCATAAGGGCAGGAGTGTAACATCTAGACAACTTCCTGTCAGTGCTACTAGAAACATCCCTGTTCCCTCCCCCAACAGCCTCTCTCATGCTGCTTAGCTCTTTTATTTTGCGGCCAGAGGCAAAGGACAACATGATTCTCCATCCACCGTTGCCCCCCACTCCTCCTACACAAGCTGACTAGCACAAGCTGACAGAATATCCTCCACCCCACCTCAGGACAGAAGGCTGGCTTA